TGCCCAGGCTGGTCTTGAACTCCTGGGCTCAAGCGATCTACGTGCCTAAGCCTCCCAAAGTGCTGGGATTATAGGTATGTAGCACCATATCCAGAAGGCCACATATTGATTACATTTGACTCGTGAACAACACAGGTTTAAGCTGCATGGGTCCACTATAAGGGGACTTTTTTCAATGACAGTTACATCAAATATGCCTGCCTCTTCTGCCTCCTCTTCCACCTCTTCTGCCTCTACCACCTGGGACAGCAAGACCAACCTTCCTCCTCCTCCTTGAGGAAGGCAACAAGGATGAGGATCTTTAAGGTGATCACCTTCCACTTAATGAATAGTAACTATATTTTCTCTTCCTTATTATTTTAATAACATTTTTTGTCTAATTAGATAAGTTAATTCAAATATTACAATGAGCAAAGAAGTAGTAAAACCATCTCTTTTTGTAGATGATACAATATAGCTGCATATGTGGAAAGCCCTATAAGTAAAATCAATAATAAAACTAACTCGAAAATTAAAAACTTCAGTGAGATAGCAAGTCATAAGATTAATATATAAAAATCAATAGCCAGCCAGGCATGTGGCTCACACCTGTAATCCCAGTTACTTGGGAGGCTGAGGCAGGAGAATCACTTGAATCCAGGAGATGGAGGTTGCCGTAAGCCAAGATCGCGCCATTGCACTCCATCTTGGGCAACGAAGCAAGACTCCACGTTGGGGGGGGGTGGAGATCAGTAGCCTTCGTATACACAAGTAATGACCAGTTTAAAGGATATAACACCAGTGAAAAGTCCATGTGCAATAGCAGCAACAAGGATGATTAAAGGAATTAAGGAAGGTATTTAGGAATAAGTTTAACAAGAAATAAAACACTTATATATGAAGAAAACTTTAAAACACTCCTGAAAGACACAAAGACAGAACTGAATAAATAAAAAGATAATCCCTGTTCTTTGACAGGACAACTCAGCCTCATAAATACATCAGTCCTCCCTAAATTAGTTTAACAAGATTAATACAATCCCAGTAAAAATACCATTAACGTTTGAGAGTAAAGTTCAAATGGAGAAAAAAATAACCAACGCACATAGCCTATGCATAAATGAAGGCAAGAAAACACTGAAAAACTATGAGGGATCTTGGGCCAGAAAAAGATGTTCGTCAGATAACTGGTGAAATTTAGAATGAGGTCTGTAGATTATATAATAGTATCATATCAATATTAACTTCCCAATTTTGATCACTGTAGTGACTATGAAAGAACTGCAACTTACTCTCAAACATTTTTTTAATTAATTTTGTTGTTGTTGTTGTTGTTTTGAGATGGTATCTTGCTCTATTGCCCAGGCTAGAGTGCAGTGGCACGATCTCGGCTCACTGCAACCTCTACCTCTTGGGTTCAAGCAATTCTCCTGCCTCAGTCTCCCGAGTAGCTGGGTCTATAGGTGTGTACCACCATGATCGGCTAATTTTTTGTATTTTTAGTAGAGATGGGGTTTCGCCAGGTTGGCCAGGCTGGTCTCGAACTTCTGACCTCACGATCTGCCCACCTCGGCCTCCCAAAGTGCTGGGATTACAGGCGTGAGCCACAGCACCCAGCCTTACATTTAAAAAATTACATAGTAATGTAGATAAAATAATTCATTAAAACAACAAGCATAGCCAGGCGTGGTGGCTCACGCCTGTAATCCCAGCACTTTGGGAGGCCAAGGTGGGTGGATCACGAGGTCAGGAGATCGAGACCACCCTGGCTAACACGGTGAAACCCCGTCTCTACTAAAAATGCAAAAAATTAGCCGGGCATGGCAGCGGGCACCTGTAGTCCCAGCTACTTGGAAGGTTGAGGCAGGAGAATGGCGTGAACCCGGGAGGTGGAGCTTGCAGCGAGCCGAGACCGCCCCACTGCACCCCACCGGGGAAAACTGGGAGAACCCCGTTCCAAAAAAAAAAAAAAAAAAAAAAAACAAGCATGGCAAAATGTTAATTTTTAGAAAATCTAGAGTAAAAATATTAGGAATTCTTGTACTATTTTTGCAACATTCTTGTTCAGTCTGAAATTACTTCTAAACAAAATAGTTTTAAAGCATATTACAATATACCTCTAAAAATGAAGCATATCATCTTTTAAAATTGACAAACCTGGGCTGGGCGCCGTGACTTACGCCTGTAATCCCAGCACTTTGGGAGCCTGAGGCAGGCAGATCACGAGGTCAGGAGATCAAGACCATCCCAGCTAACATGGTGAAACCCCATTTCTACTAAAAACACAAAAAATGCCATGTGTGATGGGCGGGTGCCTATGGTGCCAACTACTCAGGAGGCTGAGGCAGGAGAATGGAGTGAACCTTGGAGGCAGAGCTTGCAGTGAGCCAAGATCGGGCCACTGCACTCCAGCCTGGGCAACAGAGCGAGACTCTGTTTCAAAAAAAATAAAGAAAAGAAAAAAAATTGACAAACCTTTCAAATGACAACCATAAACAAGTTTAATTTCAAATTATACTCTGGCCACATTCATTATCTAATTAATTTTAAATATTTATGATTTTTAAACAAAAATGCTATTACAATATTCAGTTTTCCTTCCCCTTCCCCAAACAGGTCAAAAAAGAAAAAAGGAAAGCCAAGCACAAATGAAAATTCCAAGCAAAACATGTTTCCATACCTACAATAAATGCTAACAAACATTACTGAATGTCCCTCTACTATGTACAGGAATGACAAGAAAACAAAAAGTTAATATACAGTAAAAACTTTTTATTATTTAAAATTAATATAGCTATCTGAGAAACAATGAAAAGAATGGAGGTTTTATAGTATGGCAGATTTGAGTGTGAAACCCTCTCCTATCACCTATTAGAAGTTACTCAAATTCTCCAAGCTTCAGGTTCCTCGTATTAAAAATAGGCGTACACTCACCTCTTAAAATAGTTGTTATATTTGGTATGTAAAATATCTAAGATGTGTGAGGCACGCAACAAAGAGCAGCTACTAACTGGGAGAAAGGGCTGCACAAGAGCTTTTGAGTGAGACAGAAATAGAATGGAACATAGGCTCTCCTACTTATTGACCCTATGATCCTGGTCAAAAACTTGTCTGAATATCAGATTCTTCTGCTATAAAATGAGATAACAACACCTGCAATAATGGATTCTTGTGATAGCTGAATGAGATAACATACATATAGAAATTCACTCCTTCATTCAATAAATGTTGAGTATTTAAATATGCTGAAGACTGTAGAAGAGAAAGAAAAAAAAAAACTTCTTTCTGGTTAAATAACATGCCAAGTTCTGTGCTTGGCTGTGTATATCAAGGTAAACAAAGCAGACATGGCCCCTGCTTTCGTGGAGTTTATAGATAATAAAGAAGACAAAAATTAAACAAGTAAAACCACATATGATAAATACATGAATATAAATAGTGCTAAGTGCTATGAAGGAAGCGATACGAAGCTATCTAAGAAAAAGAATAATAAGAGGGGCTACTTTGATTTGAATAGTCATGGAGGGTCTTTCTAAATTTTAAAGATGAATTAATTACACAACACTGACTTGTGCCAGGCACTATTCTTTTTTTTTTTTTTTCTTTTATACTTGGTTTAGCCAGGTACTATTCTAGGTTAACAATCAATGTGCAGGAAATAAGACAAATAAAAATCCATGCTTTTGTTGAACTTATATTCTGTTTGGAAGAGTCAATAAACAAGTGTGTGTGTGTGTATATATATCTCATGTTATATGGCACCTATAATAATCTGACATATATCTGACACATACATATATGTCAGATTATTATAGGTGCCATATAAAACGATAAAGCAGAAGATAGTGAATAGGAAGTTCTGGGAAGGAGAGTGATGAAAGAAAGCAGAAGGTGGCTTTTAAACAAAGACCTGATGGAAGCAAGGGAGCTGGCTCTGATGATCTTAGGGTAGAGGCTAAAGCCCTACCTGAAGTAAAGCTTGGTGTGTACAAGGAACAGAAAGAAAAGATAGTGTGGTTGGAGCAGACTAGTGAAAGAAAAAATGGTGGGAGATAAGATCAGAGAGCCAATGAGGGTGGAGGGAATGATCATGTAGAAGCTCGTAGGCCATAAGAAGACACTTGGGTTTCAATCTCAGTGTGATGAGAAACAATGGAGAATTTTAAGCACAGGTGTGAAATGATCTGACATATTTTAAAAGCATGGCTCTGGCTATAAAGTAGAGAATTGACTTTGGAGGTACACAAGCAGAAGTAGAGAAACCAGTTAGAACACTCCTAAATTTCAGGTACGAAATTATGCCACTACAGCAAAGGTAGCAAAAATGGTGAGAAATGGCTATACTGAGAATACAGAGAAAAGTCTTGCTGATATATTGAATGTAGAGTATGAATAGCTTGATCTTTCACCTTGTCTTGGTTGACATTTTAAGATCCTCAATTTATAGTCCATGACCAGTCATGGTAGCTCACGCCTGTAATCCTAACACTTTGGGAAGCCGAGACAGGTGGATCACTTGAGCTCAAGAGTTTGAGACCAGCCTGGGCAACATGGCAAAAAGCCATGTCTACCGAAAATACAAAAAATTAGCCGAACATGGTGGTGCACGTCTGTAGTTCCAGCTACTCGAGAGGCTGGGTGGAAGGATCACTTGAGCCTAGGAGGCGGAAGTTGCAGTGAGCCGAGATGGCACCACTGCACTCCAACCTGCATAACAGAGTGACACCCCCAGCTTGGAAAAAAAAAGTTATAGTCCATGATTAAAGGAGACAAGATGTGTATCATTTTTCCTATTTCAACTTCCTGCTATAGAGTACTCTAGGTACTTCCCATACCACAGTCTATATATAAACACTTTCTCTATGGCTAAGTTCTATAAGAACTATTACTTCGATTTAATTCAAAAAACATTTTACATCTTATATATCCTGGCATCCTCCATAGTTCCTTAATAAATAACTGTCGTTTCTTATCTCATGTATATAACTAGTAAGAAGCCTCAAAAGTTTTTTTTAACATACCATATTTTTCCATATGTTCTTTTCCAGCATACCCAAACATCTGAGGAGCAACTGGGTGTGCAGACAATCCATACTTATTGATCAGGACGTCAAGATGTTTATCAGTGGGAATGGTCCTATCTGAAAACTAAGATGGGGGGACAAAATTTCATAAGTAGCTGACATGATAAGTATCTCTTTCAAAACTACTACAGCGCTATTAAGACATTTATTTATTCTAAGCCCATAGTACACCAGAAATGGTCAATGTGAATAAAATCAGTTAGGACATGCTCCACAGGGAAACATGGGAAGAAGAAAAAATAATCAAGTGAGGAAAGAGGTATTAACTCTTTCAAGAAATATTTATTGGGCATCCAGTATGTGCCAGTAACTATTCCAGACATGAGAGAAAAAAGAGTGAATAAGATAGACTTTGCTCACTGGCATTTACATTGCAGAGGGAGGAAGGTAAAAGGTGATGAGGACAATAATAAATAAAAATATTTATGACTCAGTAATGACTAATAAGAAAAGATTAGTATTAAATGATTAACATAAAAAATAAAATAAATAAAATTTAAAATATAAATAACATTTATATTTCGTAATATAAAGCAATCCTCCTATCTCAGCTTCCCAAGTAGCTGGGAATACAGGCATGCACCACCATGTCCAACTAATTCTTTTGTATTTTTTTGAATAGCCGGGGTTTCACCATGTTGCCCAGGGTGGTCTTGAATTTCTGGTCTCAAGCAATCCTCCTGCCCCTGCCTCCCAAAGTACTGGGACTACAGGCATGAGCCAGGGCACCTGGCTACAATATACTTCTTGGACGAAGCAAACAACAAAAAACACTTCCTAGAGTTCTCATAACATTACAGTGAACAGATATATTACTTAAAAGTAGTCTGTGGATAAATTAAAGCTGTAACTATAAAACATAAAGCAACCACTAAAAGCAAAACAAAACAGCAGAGGTATAGTTAATACGCCTATAAGATAGATAAAATGAAATTATAAAAAATTCTCAATTAACAGAAAAGAAGAAAAAAGAACAAAGAAGAGATTGAACAAAAAGAAAACAATCCGCAAATCAGTGGTGTCCAAGTAAATACTTAACAACAGGCTCACTGGGGCAGGATGCAGGGAGCCCTAATTGGTAGCATTTGCCAACTTTTGTGGTATAAATTCTCCCACCACAGCCAGTTTGAATCTACTAACATGGCTGTCACGGAAACCAAACATGGGAAAAGATGTGCATAATCCGATCGTTAAGGATGGTACAAGCTAGTAGGTAACGGTTTCAGCTAACTGCTAGTTTAAACTCAACCACATCAATCAGCACATCAAATGGGAAAGATATAAAAAGTCCAATTAAAAGGCAAATATTATTATATTGTTAAAAAGCAAGACCCCACAATATGCTGTCTACAAAAACCCAATTCAAATATATAGACAAAAATAAGTAAAGGGATGGAAAAATATATACTATTCTAATTCTACTCAAAAGAAAGCTGGATTGGCTATGCTAATATCAAAGTAGATGTAAGATCAAAGAACCAATAACAAGGACTAAAGAGGATTATCTCATAATGACGAAGGAGTCAACTTACCAAGAGGATATAACAACCCTAAATGTTAATATATCTAATATCAGAGCTTCAAAATACATGAAACAGAAACTGAAGGAAATAGGACGGGCGTGGTGGCTCACGCCTGTAATCTCAGCACTTTGGGAGGCAGAAGGCAGGCGGATCACTAGGTCAGGAGTTCAAGACCAGCCTGACCAACATGGTGAAACGTTACTAAAAATACAAAAATTAGCCAGACGTGGTGGTGCGTGCCTGTAATCCCAGCTATTCGGGAGGCTGAGGCAGGAGAATCACTTGAACCCGAGAGGTGGAGGTTGCAGTGAGCCAAGATCGTGCCATTGCACTCCAGCCTAGGTGACGGAGTGAGACTCCATCTAAAAAAAAAAAAAAAAAAAAAGAACTGAAGGAAAGAGACAAATCTACAGATATAGCAGAGATTGCAATACTTCCCTCTCAATAACTGACAGAATAAGTAGACAAATCAGTAAGGTCATAAAAGACTTGACCAACCTCATCAGCCAATTTGACATAAGTAGCATTTATAGAACACTTCATTCACTAAGAACAAAGTACATATCCTTTTCAAGTGCACACATTATATTTTTCAAAATAAACCATACCCTGAGCCAAAAAACAAATCTCAAATAAAAAAATATAGGCCGGGCCTGGCGGTCCCCACCTGTAATCCCAGCACTTTGGGAGGCTGAGACAGGTGGATCACTTGAGTTCAGGAGTTCGAGACCAGCCTGGCCAACGTGGTGAACCCCATCTCTACTAAAAATACATAAATTAGCCAGGTGTGGTGGTGTGCACCTACAGTCCCAGCTATTCAGGAGGTTGAGGTGGAAGAACTGCTTGAACACAGGAGTTGAAGATTGCAGTGAGTCAAGATCACACCACTGCACTCCAGCCTGGGTGACAGAGTGAGACTCTGTCTTGGGAATAAATATATATATATATATATATATATATATATGTATAACACACACACACACATACATACACACACACATATATATGTATGTGTGTGTGTATATTGTGTGTGTGTGTGTATTGTGTGTATATATATGCGTGTGTGTGTGTGTGTGTGTGTGTGTGTGTAGTAGCCAGGCATGGTGGGTCATGCAAGCATGGGCAACATAGCAAGATTCCATCTCTGCAAAAAATTAGCTGGGCATGGCTGATTTAAAATAAAGAATTAAACCCAAAGTAAGGAAAAGAAAGGAAACATCAAGAACGAGAGCAGATTGAAATAGAAAATGAGCAGAAAGAAAAAGAATGAGTAGAAATGAGCAGAATAAACTAGGAAAAAGAAGAATATAGGCCAGGCGCCATGGCTCACGCCTGTAATTCCAGCACTTTGAGAGGCCAGGTGGGTGGATCATGAGGTCAGGAGTTTGAGGCCAGCCTGGCCAACATGGTGAAACTCTGTCGCTACTAAAAATACAAAAATTAGCTGGGCATGGTGGCAGGCACCTATAATCCCAGCTACTCAGGAGACTGAAGCAGAAGAATTGCTTGAACCCTGGAGGCAGAGGTTGCAGTGAGCCGAGATCATGCCATTGCACTCCAGCCTGGGCAACAGAGTGAGACTCTGTCTCAAAAAAAAAAAAAAAGAGTATATAGAAAATCAATGAAAACAAAAGCTAGTCCTTCTATTGTAAACTTTCTTTTTCCATGATCACTCTGACAACAAAAGATGACCATGGAAAAAGAGAGAAGATAAAAATTACCAACACCAGAAGAAGGGAGAAGACACATCCAAAGATCCTACATTAAAAAGATGGGAATAACATGAATGACTTTTTACCAATAAGGTTAACAATGTAGATGAACTGGACAAATTCCGTGAAGGATATAAACTATCAAAGCTCGCTTAAAAAAAGAAAAAATAGACAACCTGAATAGTAATATATTTACTGAAGAAACTAAACTTAGAAGATTGAAAAATTTCCCATAAAGAAATCATCAGACCATGATCCAAAGATAAGAATGCAAAAAAAAAATTTTTTTTAATTAAAAATATTTTAGGGCTGGGCACGGCGGCTCACGCCTGTAATCTCAGTACTTTGGGAGGCCGAGGCAGGCGGACCACCTGAGGCCGGGAGTTTGAGACAAGCCTGACCAACATGGAGAAACCCCATCTCTACTAAAAATACAAAATTAGCCGGGCGTGGTGGTGCATGCCTGTAATCCCAGCTACTCGGGAGGCTAAGGCAGGAGAATCGCTTGAACCTGGGAGGCGGAGGTTGCGGTGAGCCGAGATTGTGCCATTGCACTCCAGCCTGGGCAACAAGAGGGAAACTCCATCTTAAAAAAAAAAATTTAAAAGAAAAGAAACAAAGTCACCCAATCAAATGTGAACTGGTGAATTGGTGAATTCTACCAAAAATTTAAGAGAAAAAAATACCAATTTACATATAAACTATTCCAAAAAACAGAAGAGAAGAGAACACTTCCCAGCTATTCTATGACGCCAGCATTATTCTCGTATTAAAACTAGCCTGGGTGTGGTGGCTCACACCTATAATCCCAGAACTTTGGGAAGCCAAGGTGAGCAGATCACTTGAGCCCTGAAGTTCAAGACCAACCTGCGCAATGGAAAGAAAACAACAAACCAACACCCTTGCGGACATAAACACAAAAATCCTTAACAAAATTTTAACAAATCAGGCCAGGCGCGGTGGCTCACACCTGTAATCCCAACACTTTGGGAGACCCAGGCGGAAGGATTGCTCAAGCCCAGGAGCTTGAGACCAGCCTGGGCAACATAGGGAGAACCCATCACTTAAAAGAAAAAGATTAGCAAATCAAATCCAATAATATATAAAAAGGATAATATTTCATGACCAAATACCAAACATTACCCCAGAATATCGGATAGACCAACAGTCAAATATCAACAAATATAATTCATCATATTAACAAACTAAAAAAGAATAACAAACAAAATAAGAACATCTCAATAGATATCTAAAAAGCTTGTGAAAAAACGTGGCTGGGTACGGTAGCTCACACCTGTAATCCCAGCACTTTAGGAGGCCGAGGCAGGTGGATCGCCTGAGGTCAGGAGTTTGAGACCAGCCTGGTCAACATGGTAAAACCCCGTCTCAACTAAAAGTACAAAACTCAGCCCAGCTTGGTGGTGGGCACCTGTAATCCCAGTTACTTTGGAGGTTAAAGTAGGAGAATCACTTGAAACAGGGAGGCAGAGGTTGCAGTGAGCCAAGACTGTGCCACTGCACTCCATTTCAGCCTGGGAAACAGAAACTACATCTCAACAAAAAAAAAGGGTGTAAGGTCTGTGCGTGGATTCGTTATTTGCATGTGGATATCCAGTTGTCCCAGCACGACTTGTTGAAAACATTATCTTTTTTCCATTATATTGCCTTTGCTTCTTTGTCAAAGATCAGTTGACTATATTTATGTAGGTCTATTTCTGAATGCTTTATTCTGTTCTATTTATCTATTTGTCTAATTTGTCTGAACTTTTTTGTCAATAACACACTGTCTTAATTACTGGAGCTTTAGGTAAGTCTTGAAATTGAGTAGTGTCAGTCCTTCTGTTGAACTTGGGAGGGAGACCTGGTCTCAAAAAAAAAAAAAAAACAAGCAGAAGGAGGGACTTCTAATTTATATATATTTCCTTTTAATTATACTATGGGATTATGGATGGATTTTACTATTTTATAATTTTTAATAATTTTCAAATAAAAGTTACCAGGGCACGTACCATTTACTGCTGGAAAAAAACACGTATTTTTCATGTGTCATAAATATTATATATTCACTTACATAACCTTATTTCTCAGTCTCCTCCAGCTGCCACTCTAATCCAGACAGTTTTTTAAACTGTTCCCTGGGTGTATCATATTCATTCAGACACCCATGACTAGGCTCATGATGCCTTCTCTGACATCTAGGAAGAACACATTTCCCCTTACCCACTCCTAAATTATCCGATCTAACTTCTACCACTTTTCAAAGGTGTTCTTTAAAGAGGGAAACAACTTATTGATTTGAATGCCTATTAAGTGCCACTTTCGTGGTTTCTAAGAAATATCATCATATGTATTTAAGTTAATTTGGGGTAGAGGTCCTTTAACGTTTCAACAGAGAAAATGGGATCAGGTTGATCACATAAGTTAGATAATAGTATAATTTTAGATAACAGTAAAAAATTATCTTCAACTCATTTTCTTTTTTTTTTTTTTTGAAACAGAGTCTCAGGCCAGGCGCGGTGGCTCAAGCCTGTAATCCCAGCACTTTGGGAGGCCGAGATGGGTGGATCACGAGGTCAAGAGATCGAGACCATCCTGGCTAACACGGTGAAACCCCGTCTCTACTAAAAAATACAAAAAACTAGCCGGGCGAGGTGGCGGGCGCCTGTAGTTCCAGCTACTCGGGAGGCTGAGGCAGGAGAATGGCGTGAACTTGGGAGGCGGAGCTTGCAGTGAACTGAGATCCAGCCACTGCACTCCAGCCTGGGAGACACAGCGAGACTCCGTCTCAAAAAAAAAAAAAAAAAAAAAAAGGAAACAGAGTCTCACTTTGTCGCCCAGGCTGGAATGCAATGGCACATCTTGGCTCACCGCAACCTCCACCTCCTGGGCTCAGGCAAGTCTCCTGCCTCAGCCTCCCGAGTAGCTGGGATTACCAGCGCACACCACCACACCCAGCTAATTTTTTGTATTTTTAGTAGAGATGGGTTTTGCTATATTGGCCAGGCTGGTCTCGAACTTCTGGCCTCAAGTGATCCGCCCATCTCAGCCTCCCAAAGTGCTGGGATACAGGCATGAGTGAATTTTTAATTTTATTTCTTTCTTTTCTTTTCTATAAATTCCATTTAGGGTTTTTTTTTTTTTTTCATGCCAATAATGTTCTTTTTTGTAGTTTTCTATAGCCTAAAGAGGTTTCCAAGCTGTCTTTTATTTCTCTAAACATAACAAACATGATTAAATCTGCATCCAATAAATCTAGTTTTGGCAGTCTTCAGAGATTACCTTTTACTGCTCCTTCTTTCTTTTGGTTCTCAATTGTGGTGCCTTGTTTCTTTAACACTTAAGGTTATCTTGAACTGCGTGTCCTTGAAATTTTACTTGAAGGGCTCTCAAAGCCTGGAAGAAGGGTGCTTTCCTCCAGAAGAAAATCTGGCTAGGTTACTACCATTCTGGAACTACTTTAGATTCAATTCATGGTTTGAGGTTTCCTGGACCACTCAGATAATGAGAATGTTGGCAGTGATCCCACATGTGGGCTAGTCTGTGATTTATTAACTCAATGAAAGGTTTTACTGGGTTTTTTATTCTCTTTTTTTTTTCTCCCCTGTTTTACTGGATGCCATGGTAACTCTCCCTATCATCTCATGGAAGTGGGCAGTTTTACTTCAGGTTCGTCCTACCCAAAGAGTTTACCCTTACACAGTATCAATTTAATGTGGGTATTAAACTTCTGATCTTGGGAAGGTCTGAGCTTTGACTACTTCCCCTTTCATTCCAGGGGGCTGTCAAAATTGTGGCTCACAGCTGCCTGATGAGCAAAGATCTTCAAGGCAAAACAAGTTGCAAATGCTGATGTTAATTCTCTGGCATTCATCTGCACTTCCTCTCTCTTGCTAGTTCTTCAATACCTTTAGGATTTCTTTTTTCATATTCTATCCAAATATTTTAGTTGTCATCAGTGAGAGAACTGGCTCAAAAAACTTGGCTTGCCATTACCAGAATTAGAAGTTCCACATTTTATTAACTCTCTTCAATTTGTTGAATGAATTTCATTTATTGAATGTAATTCATTGATCAAAAAAATGAATAAATGAATGGCTTTCAAATTAAATAGATAAGTCAACTTCAAATTCAATAATCTCCTATCTTTGAACACCAGTTTCATCATTGGTAAAATAAACAGTTTGAACAAAATTATCTCTAAGATTCTTCACTAGTCTAAAATACCAAGATCTATGCATACATTTAAGTATCACCTTTCAACTTTTGGGTTATATTAGCTCATTTAGTAACTATGCCAAAATAACACTCACTTTTATTCCAAGGCTTCCCTTACTCATCTTCTCAAACCCAAGAGCCAAGACACATTCTGCCACACCTTAAAGGAAAATGTAATTATTTTGAAATTTCACATTTCTAAACACCAACAAAATACCATTAAATACTTCAATTGAAATAAGTGCATCAAGTGAGAGCACAGTGGCTCAAACTTCTAGTCCCTAGTCCCATCAGTTTGGGAAATCAAAGCAGATGAATTGCTTGAGGCCAGGAGGTCAAGACCAGCCAGGGTAACATAGTAAGACTCTGTCTCTACAAAAATTTAAAAACTTAAAATGTTTGAAAAATCAGCTGAGTGTGGTGGTACACACCTGTAGTCCTAGTGACTTGGTAAGCTGAGGCAGGAGGTCACTTGAGCCCAGAAATTCTGTCTCTAAATAAATAAGCCAATTTACATAAAATGTAAAAACATACTATAATCCCACAAACGTTTTTGTTGTTGTTGTTTGTTTGCTTTTTTTTTTTTTTTTTTTTTTTTTTTTTTTTTTTTTTGAGACGGAGTCTCGCTCTGTCGCCCAGGCTGGAGTGCAGTGGCGCAATCTCGGCTCACTGCAAGCTCCGCCTTCCGGGTTCACGCCATTCTCCTGCCTCAGCCTTCCGAGTAGCTGGGACTACAGGCGCCCGCCACTGCGCCCGGCTAATTTTTTTCTATTTTTTAGTAGAGATGGGGTTTCACCATGGTCTCGATCTCCTGACCTTGTGATCCGCCCGCCTCGGCCTCCCAAAGTGCTGGGATTACAGGCGTGAGCCACCGCGCCCGGCCTGCTTTTTTTTTTGACACAAAGTTTCAGTCTGTCACCGAGACTGGAGTATAGTGGCAGGCTCACAGCTCACTGCAGCTTCAACCTCTCAGGCTCAAGCGATCCTCCCACCTCAGCTCTCTATTAGCTAGAGCTAATTTTTGTATTTTTTGTAGAGAAAGTTTTGCCGTGTTGCTTAGGCTGGTCTTGAGCTCCTGGGCTCAAGCAATCTGTCCACCCCAGCCTCCCAAGTGCTAGGATTACAGGCATAAGCCACTGTGCCCGGCACCACAAAGGTTTTTTTGGTTTTTGGTTTTTGGTTTTTTTTTTTGAGACAGTGTCTCACTCTGTCACCAAAGCTGAAGTGCAGCAATGCAATCATGGCTCACTGAAGCCTAGACCTCCTGGGCCCAAGCAATCTGCATGTAGCTGGGACCGCAGGCCTGTGGCACCACGACCAGTTTTCTTGCCCTTTTTTTTTTTTTTTTTTGTACAGATGGAGTCTCACCATGTTGCCCAGGCTGGTCTCAAATTCCCGGGCTCAAGTGATCCACCCACCTCAGCTTCCCAAAGTGCTGGGATTACAGACATAAGCCACCAACCAGCCAAAGTTTTTAACAACAGAAAAATTACAGAGAAAATCTTTATATTCTTCTAGATAAGAGGAAAAATCAGGCTGGGCGTGGTGAATCATGCCTGTAATCCCAAAACTTTGGGAGGCCAAGGCAGATGTATCGCTTGAGACCAGGAGTTCGAGACCAGTCTGGGCAACATGGCAAGACCTCATCTCTACAAAATATACAAAAATTGGTCGGGTGTGGTGGCACACACCTATGATCCCAACTATTAATACTTAGGAGGCTGAAGTGAGAGGATCACCTGAGGCCAAGAGGCCAGGTTGCAGGGGCTGAGATCATGCTACCACACTGTTGCCTGGATGAGAGAGTGAGGCCCTGTCTCTAAAAAAAGAAAACTGGAAAAATCAATAAGGTGCTTAATTCTTCTCTTGAGTCTCAATATGTTAATAAAATTTCGTGTTAATATGGAAATATGTTTCAGTAATGAATATAAAAAGCTAATTTAGAATCACAGTTAGAAAAGCATTTAAAATTTGAAATTAAAAATTTAAAAATGAACCCAATGAAAATCTCAGAAGAATTATTTTTGGAGAGAGGGGGCACCTAAAAATTATGTTGTTAAAGTTCAACTGAAGAGCCAAACATTCCTGCAGGAGCTGAATTTAAAAAAAAAAAAGACAGGATTGCCACATTTTTTCCTAAAAAAATAAAAGAAATATAATGTAACAGAAACAGGGACCACTAGCATTATCAAACAATATAAAGTTCCAATAATTAAAACGCTGGGTAGTGAAATAGTAATCAACAATCAAATCAGTGGAACAGAGAGAGGACCTAATAAAAAACCCTAGAATATATGGAAACATAGGATATGACACATATACAAAAGAACTGAAAATACACGGCCACAAAAAAAAAAAAAAGTATACACAATGTTTACAATGGCATTATCTTCGCCCTCCCCTGACCATTTTTAAAAGACAGTGTCTTGCTCTGTTGCCCAGGCTGGAGTATAGTGGCACAGTTATGACTGTGCAGTTATGACTGCAAACTGCAGCCTCAGTCTCGAGACTCAAGTGATCCTCCTGCCTCAGCCTCCCAAGAAGCCAGGATTACGGGTGCCATGCTCACTATGGCAGCATTATTCATAACAGCCAAAAAAAATAGAAACAATCCCTCAACTGATGGAAACCAATAAAAAATACGCAAGCAACAATGTCTATCAACTGATAAACAGGTAGAAGAAATGTGGTATAGCCATCCTAGCACTTTGAGGGGCCAAAGCAGGAAGATCGCTTAAAGCCTTTAGCTCGAGATTAGCCTCGGCAACATAGCAAGACCTCATTTCTACTTATTTTACTTTTTATTTTTCTTCTACATTTAAAAAACAGTCTATCTATTTTTTAATGTGATATATCCATACAATGGAATATTATTTGGCCATGAAAAGGAATTAAGTACTGATATATGCTGCAACATGAATAAACTGTAAAAACATTGTGTTAAGTGAAATAAACCACAAAAGGCCATGTATTGTACAATTCCATTTATATAAATATTCAGAATACAAAATTCCACAAAGAGAAAGTAAATTAGTGGTTTCTAGGGACTGAGGGAAGGAGAAAATGGAGAATGACGGCTAATGGGTACAGGGTTTCTTTCTGTGGTGATAAAACTGTTCTAATGTGACCAGGTGTGGTGGTTCACACCTGCAATCCCAGCACTTTGGGAGGCCAAGGTGGGCAGATCACTTGAGGTCAGGAGTTTGAGACCAGCCTGGCCAACATAGTGAAACCCCGTCTCTATTAAAAATACAAAAAAATTAGCCATGCATGGTGGTGGGTACCTGTAATCCCAGCTACTCGGGAGGCTGAGGCAGGAGAATCACTTGAACCCGGGAGGTGGAGGTTGCAGTGAGGTGAGATCGCACAACTGCACTCCAGTCTGGGCAACAGAACAAGACTCACTCTCAAAAAAAAAAAAAGTTCTAATATTACATAGTGGTGATAGGTATACAATTCTGTGAATATACAAAAAACACTGAATTGCATACTTTAAAAAGGTGAGTTTTATGGTCTATAAATTATATCTCACAATGCCTTTTTAATTTTATTTTACTTTAATTTTTTTTTTTTTTTTTAAGAGACAGTCTCACTGCATTGCCCAGGCTAGAGTGCAGTGGTATGATCATACATCCTCCAGCCTCAGCCTCCTGAGTAGCTGGGACCACCACGCCTGGCTAATTTTTTTTTAATTTTGTGTAAACATAGGGTCTAACTACATTGCCCAGGGTGGTCTTGAACTCCTGGGCTCAAATGATGCTCTTGCCTTGATCCCCCAAAGTGTTGAAATTACCAGTGTGAGCCACCATGCCTGGCTGATGAAGCCTTTTTTTTGTTTTTTGGTTTTTGGTTTTGTTTTTTTTTTTGAGACAAGCTCTGGCTCTATCGCCCAAGCTGGAGTGCAGTGGTGCCATCTAGGCTCACTGCAATCTCTGTCTCCCAGGCTCAAGCCATCCTCCCACCTCAGCCTCCCAGGTAGCTGGGACTACAGATGCATGCCACCATACCCAGCTAATTTTTGTATTTTTTTGTAGAGACGGGGTTTTGTTACATTGCCCAGAGCTAGTCTCGAATTCACAAGCTCAAACAATCCACCCACCTCGGCCTCCCAAAGTGCTGAGGTTACAAGCATAAGCCACCACACCCGGCCTGATACGGCCTTTTTTAAAACAAATACATTATAAAATAATTCCTCTGATGGTCGTATGATTAAATGATTAAAATGGGGAAATATTTAAGTACACTAGACAAGCACTCCTTACCACCCTGAATCAGCTGGCGGGCCATAAACAAAGCAGTAGAACCAGTAGAGCAGTTATTGTTGACATTGATTATAGGAATTCCAGTCATTCCCAAACTGTGATAGATAGCCCTCTGCCCACAGGTAGAGTCACCTGAATAGAAAAACAAAAATTTTAATATGGAGAATTACGGAGCTGCAATGCAACATAATACTACATTATGTGTTTTTTTTAATATTATACCTTTGCCAAGCATATAACACGTGCAAGACAATAAATATTTTAGAAACAGTTTTAACGCTAACCATCATTTACTCTGCAAAAAAGACTGAAAACAGAATATATGTGCACTTTCTTTATATAATACAAAGGTAGAGAAATAAAGAAATGATCAGTTAATAGAAAACGATTCCATCTGGCTAAGGCTATATGATAAAGAAAGCAATATTTCATTAACACCTAAATGTCGGATAAAAATCTTTAAACATTGGCCAGGTGCGGTGGCTCACGCCTGTAATCCCAGCACTTTGGGAGGCCAAGGCGGGCAGATCACAAGATCAGGAGATCAAGACCATCCTGGCTAACACAGTGAAACTCCATCTCTACTAAAAATACAAAAAATTAGCCAGGTGTGGTGGCACGCACCTGTAATCCCAGCTACTTAGGAGGCTGAGGCAAAAGAATCACTTGAACTAGGAGGCAGAGGTTGCAGTGAGCCAAGATTGCACCACTGCACTCCAGCCTGGGTGACAGAGCGAGACTCGGTCTCAAATAAATAAATAAATAAATAAAAGGCCGGGCGCAGTGGCTCAAGCCTGTAATCCCAGCACTTTGGGAGGCCGAGACGGGCGGATCACAAGGTCAGGAGATCGAGACCATCCTGGCTAACACGGTGAAACCCCGTCTCTACTAAAAAATACAAAAAACTAGCCGGGCGTGGTGGCGGCGCCTGTAGTCCCAGCTACTCGGGAGGCTGAGGCAGGAGAATGGCGTAAACCCGGGAGGCGGAGCTTGCAGTGAGCTGAGATCCGGCCACTGCACTCCAGCCTGGGCGACAGAGCCAGACTCCGTCTCAAAATAAATAAATAAATAAATAAATAAATAAATAAATAAAATCTTTAAACCTATGATAGTGATTAAAAGCCATGATTTACTTTTCATATAAAGATTCCACAACTTCGAAAAGTTTAAAAGACCCTGCATGCCAAGGCATTCCAGGAAAACATGATCCATGTTAAATACATATGTGACTTCCTTTCCCAAGTGTAAAAAGTAAAGTAGAGGTTCCTCTTCAAAGACTTTCCTCCCCATTTAATTAGGAATAGATAGTAACTTCTCTTAGAAGCAAAATATATTCAAAGACCTATGCTAACATTCTTAAATATCTGCTAGCCATGGTAAAGAAATCAATGTACTTTATGTTCTTAGTTCCCAGTATTTAGCCTAAGTATTTGCCCTGGCATGCTTATACTGGTCCAAGCAAGCATTAGGTCATAACCTGTTCCTCTTCCTTATTTGAAGGTGTTTTTACGTTTCTTGGCATTCCACAAGTTACTTCCTCCTTCCTTTGTTCTCCTCTGCCTTTGCCTCTTTTAAAAAGTTATAAGTTTCTAGCCAATCGAGACAAATACAGAATGTGAGGTCCCGTTCCAGCCAATGGAACTGGATACAGCAGTAGGGTGGACACGTCAGGTTATAAATGATCCTGTCTCCTTTGTTTGGTGTACTCTCGTGGCAAAACTGCTGGCAAGTGTACCCTTTCTGCAGGAAGTAAAAATGGCCTTGCTGAGTAAATTACATTTGTGTTCAAGTGCTATTTCTTTACAGCACCAAGGAACAAGCATTTCAAACACAAGTAACATGACCACCAAGGTAGACATGCTGGAGCAGTGTGATGGGAATATCTGAAGGTACAGGCTCCAGGAGTCTTCAGCAAAATCAGGAAAGTTAGGGATCTGCTTTTCAATAAATATATTCTGCATCCCTTTAACCCAGTATGTTTCCCTTCTAGAATTCTCTTGATATCTTGATATCTCAAAGAAATAAATCATATATATGCACAAATATTCATCTACAGTAACACCTACTATAGTATTTTAATAATACTGTATATATTCATAGTATTTTTATAATAACTAGAATTTAGAAAATATCATTACTACTTCTAAATAAGCTATAGTAGACCTTCAAGAGTAGAATATCATATAATCATATAAAATGATGTAGGGGTTCCCCCACACACCCCACCCCTTTGCCAAAAACAAAAAAAAAGTTGTTGGGGTTGGGGAAACAGAGAGATGTTAGTCAACTGGTACAAACTTTCAGTTATAAGATGAACAAGTTCTGTGGATCTAATGTACAGCATGGGTGGTAATTAATGTACTAATTAACTGGATTGTGGTAATTATTACACAATATATACATAAATCATCTTATTTTATACCTTGAATATATTCAATCTTTATTTGACATTAAGTATTTTTTAAATGCTGTGAAGAGACTGGAACTTTTAAATATCCATTAAAAGGGTATTGGTAAAATAAATTATAATACATTTATTCAACGAAACACTATGCTTTTTTTCTTTTTTTGAGATAGAGTCTTACTCTGTTGCCCAGGCTGGAGTGCAATCTCAGCTCACTGCAACCTCTGCCTCCTGGATTCAAGCGATTCTCCTGCTTCTCCCTCCTGAGTAGCTGGGACTACAGGTGCATTTTTTGTATTTTTAGTAGAGGAAGGGTTTCACCATGTTCGCCAGATGATCTCGATCTCCTGACCTCGTGATCCGCCCGCCTCGGCCTCCCAAAGTGCTAGGATTACAGGCGTGAGCCATAGTGCCTGGCCGTATTTTTAAAAAGACCAAAGAAGATCTTTACAGTATGATTTGGAATAGTCACCAAAAGAAAAATTACACTAGGTTGACACATAAGGGAAATATATAAATAGTGGTAATCCCCTTAAATCAGACTTTGAATTCTGAGGGTTTTTTCTTTTTTTTTTTTTCAATGCAAATATAATTGAATGAATTCTGAGTTTTTGAGGGTTAAAATTCACAAATGTCTCTGTATTGTTTGTGTAGTTGCTGCTAGATTTAGTTAAAAAAAATTTAGAATACACAGTTTAATACATACCAAAAACATAGCCAACACATGCCTGGTCCACTGCTGAATAAGGGATCTGTGCATCAGCTAAAGCCTTCTGGCCTATAAAAACAAAAGGTTTTTATCAAAAAGTGCTTTAAGTATTTGTTTTAGGAGAGTAAAAATTAAGCTTAGAGTTTTCTCGAAGTAAACTACTCTATATAGTCTATGCTCAATTCAAATGACAAATCCTTCATCAAATCATCTCAGATCTCTAATTTCAAAAGTAATCATTTTTTCCTCTAAGCTACTGCATCACTTTTCCGTATCTCCTTTTTGGTACTTAATACTTTCTGTTATAACTTCACATCTATCTACATTAAATCTGAAGAGTCTTACAGCTCCTTAATGACACGGTCCTTGTCTTATTCATCTCTGTAGCTCCACTGCACATCTAGAGGGTAAAATGAGAAAGACTGTCATTACTGGGAGCAGACAGCACGAATGTGCTCATCTTACAAAACCAAGATCAAGAGATGACTGTCTATGGAACAAGAAAGAGAGCTTAAGGATGCTATCAAAAGTGGCAGAAACAACTAGTGGATGAACTGAGAAAAATTATGTAAATAAATGAGAAAAATTATGTAAGTAAACTGGAAAGAAGACAGTGAGGTTGAAAAAAAAGTGTGAGCTAAATCCTCATTTATGACAGTGAGAAAAAACAGACATCTAAAACTGACAAATCAAAAACTTGAGGAAGTATTTAGATAACCACCAGAAGAACTAAAGCAAAACAAGTTAAAAGAAGTTGTCCATGGGGGACAGGCCTGAGAATTACAAGCCACTCTTCATTCCTTTTTTTTTTTTTCTTTTTTTTTAAGGACAAGGTCTCTCTCTGTCACTGGAGTGCAGTGTTGTGATCCTAACTCACTGCAGTCTCAAACTCCTGGGCTTAAACGATCCTCCCACCTCGGCTTCCCAAAGTGAGGGGTAAAAGACATAAGTCACCACACCTGGCCCTGTATTCCTGTATTTTCTTTCTTTCTTTCTTTTTTGAGACAGAGTCTTGCTCTGTCGCCAGGCTGGAGTGCAAAGGCGTGATCTCGGCTCACTGCAACCTCAACCTCCCAGGTTCAAGTGATTCTCCTGCCTCAGCCTCCCAAGTAACTGGGATTACAGGCACCCACCACCACGCTACTTTTTGTATTTTTAGTAAAGAGGGGGTTTCGCTATGTTGGCCAGACTGGTCTCAAACTCCCGACCTCAAGTGATCCGCCTCCCTTGACCTCCCAAGGTGCTGGAATTACAGGCGTGAGCCACCAAGCCCAGCCTCTTTTTTTTTTAACCATATAAATGTATTTGAAAAATTTTTTAAATTCACAAACATACTAATTATAATAATCAATTATAATTTATGAAGTAATTGATTACAGAATTGGGTTAGTCAAACAATGAGCTATCTTTTCCTGCTTAACGTATGGGCAAAAAATAAATGTCTTATAATAACGTTCACAAGACTATGTTGAGAAGAACATTCTCATATGTTACCAATGAGACTCTAAGGGTGTAAATGCTGAAAATTAATTTGGCAAGAATCTTGGTTGACACGGTGGCTTACTGTACTTTGGGAGGCTGAAGTGGGAGGGTCACTTGAGCCCAAGAGTTTGAGACCAGCCTGGGCAACATAGTGGGAACCCATCTCTACAAAAAATAAAAATTAGCCAGGTGTGGTAGCATACACCTGTGGTCCCAGGTACTTGGGAAGCTGAAGAGGGAGGATCACTTGAATCCTGGAGGTCAAGGCTACAGTGAGCCGTGATCTCACCACTGCACTCTAGCCTGGGCAACAGAGCCAGACCCTGTTTCAAACAAACAAACAAAAGTGGCCAGGCATAGTGGCTCATTCCTGTAATCCTAGCACTGTGGGAGACCAAGGCAGGAGCCTTCCTTGAGCCCAGGAGTTCAAGACCAAACTGGGCAACGTGGGAAAACCCCGTCTCTACAAAAAATACAAAAATTAGGGAGGCATGGTAGTGTATGTCTGTGGTCCCAGCTACTTGGGAGGCTGAGGTAGAAGGATTGTTTGAGCCCAGGAGGTCAAGGCTGCTGTGAGCCATGATCACACTACTGCACTCCAGCCTAGGCAACAGAGAGAGACCATGTCTCAATTAAAAAAAAAGAAACTTAAAAATGATCATATTCACTATTCCTACGATTCTACTTCTAGGCTCTTTCCTCAAAAATAAACAGAGATTAGAACAAACATTTATTTAGCAAAATGTTCACTACAATTTTTCTAAAATATCAAAAACTTGGGAACCTAAATGTCCAACAAAAATAATGGCATATATATAAAATAATATATTATGTACAACCTAAACATTCTTTTCCAAACAATTTTTTTTTTTTTTTTTTTTTTTTTGAGGTAGACTCTCACTCTGTTGCCTAGGCTGGAGTATAGTGGTGCTAACTCAGCTCACTGCAAGCTCCGCCTCCCAGGTTCACATCATTCTCCTGCCTCAGCCTCCCGAGTAGCTGGGACTACAGATATCCACCACTATGCCTGGCTAATTTTTTGTATTTTTAGTAGAGACGGAGTTTCACCATGTTAGCCAGGATGGTCTCGAACTCTTGACCTCAGGTGATCTGCCCGCCTCAGCCTCCCAAAGTGCTGGGATTACAGGCATGAGCCACCACGCCTGGCCCTTTTCCAAACAATTTTAAGTAAAAGGGGAAATGCTCATGATAAAATCAATTTCAGAAATAAGGATACAAGCCAAGTGCAGTGGCGAGTGCCTGTAGTTCCAGCTGCTCAGGAGGACTGCCTGAGCCCAGGAGTTTGAGGTGGAATGCACTATGACTGGACCTGTGAATAGCCACTGCACTCTAGCCTGGGCAGCATAGTGAGATGTTGTCCTTAAAAATATATAAATATATAAATAAATAAATAGGATACAAAACTACAAATGTGATCCCATATAGCCATAGGGGGAAAATGTTAAAATAGAATAACACCAAGATACTAATAGTGATTAGGTCTGGGTCAAAATTTTGTTTTCTTTAGTACATAATTATTTGTTACAATAAAACACATGCATTGCTCTTATAATCAGTGGGAAAGAATGAGTTACAAAAAGGTATGTTTAGCTGGTACTCTGTACCTCCTTTAAATGATAACAGCAAGCCAGGCATGATGGTTCATGCCTGTAATCCTAGCACTTTGGGAGGCCGAGGCAGGTGGATCACCCAAGGTCAGGAGTTCAAAACCAGCCTGGACAACATGGCTAAACCCCATTTTTACTAAAAATACAAAAGTTAGCCAGGTGTGGTGGCAGGCGCCTGTAAATCCCAGCACCTTGGGAAGCTGAGGCAGGAGAATCACTTGAACCCAGCGGACAGAGGTTGCAGTGAGCTGTGACTGAGCCACTTCACCCTAGCCGGGGCCAAAGAGCAAAACTCCATCTCAAAAAAAAAAAAAAAAAAATGCTAACAGCATGTTGTACCTTTCACAGTCTACTACTCACTGTCTCTCTAAACTTGCCTTATTTTCTCTACTAGATGGTAAGAACCTTGAGATCAGTATATCACACCAATCTGAAACCTTCCCAGTGCCCAGGAGACACTCACTATTTGCTGCACACTTTTTCCTAATGTCAGATTTTCTGTATAAGCTTTCAGATTAAAATAATTATTAAACAAAAATGTTAAAAGGATAAGAAAACAATGGAAGCACAGAAGTTAACTATCTGAAAATGTTTCAAGGAGTTCCATGGTTGCTATATCACTCAAGCACATGTCATGTGCATTTAGATGTAAAGGGGTCCCCAACCATTCTCTGAGGAAAAGGAGGATATAGGAATGTATAAAGAGTAGAAGTCCTTAAGTAATGGAAGTGACAGGACACAATTCTGCTGGTGTGCTCCCCTCCATTCTATGCATTTAGGAAATAACAGGAAAGAAAAGGGAGCAGAACTCCCTCCTATAAGCAGTCTGGAGAAGTGGGGTAAGACTTCTAAACCAATACCCCTGCCTCAACACCACAGTCTACAAATGAGTCCAGAGGCAGCAAGTGCAAAAGCATCTACAGAATCTCAGGGATTTTTATCCCCAAGTTGTATTTGAATAAATGTTTGACGAAATGTGACTGATGTAGTCTGAAGGTGCTGTAGGTGAGATCTATGAGTGGAGTAATCCTTTGGCACTGCTCACTTCTTTACATAATTAGAATGGGGGAGTATTTTTAACAGCAACGCTAGGTTTTAAAAGTTTTAAGTTTTGTCCGGGTGCAGTGGCTCACACCTGTAATCCCACCATGGAAGGCCAAGGCAGGCGAATCACTCGAGCTCAGGAGTTCAAGACCAGCCTGGGAAACATGGTGAAACCCTTTCTCTACAATTTAATTTTAATAACTAAAATAATAATAATAATAATAATAATAAATAGAAGTTTTAAGTTTTATCCTATATAAAAGTTCATTTATTAAAAGATATTTACTTTCCTAATGTTGCTTGCAAACACAGTATTAATAAGTAAGCTGAGTAAATCAGACGGGCTTTTTTTTTTTTTTTTTTTTTTTTTTGAGAGACCTGGGCTCTCAGTTGCCCAGGGTAGAGTACAGTGATGTGATCTCGGCTCATGGCAACCTCTGCCTCCCGGGTTCAAGCAATTCTCTTGCCTCAGCTTCCTAAGTAGATGAGAATGCAAACACCCACCACCATGCCCAGTTCATTTTTGTGTTTTTTAGTAGAAATGGGGTTTCACTATATGTTGGCCAGGCTGGTGTTGAACTCCTGACCTCAGGTGCTCTGCCCGCCTCGGTCTCCCAAAGTGTTGGGATTACAGGCATGAGTTACCATGCCTGGCCAGATTTCTTATTACTAGTCAATCCCCAAAGTTAATTTCAAACATCATAACTTTACCTCAATATTACCATTTTATAATCAAAATATTATATACACACTAAAGTAACTTCAAATTTCTTAATGAAATAAAAGAAATTGGTCAAAAAATATAGAGAAAACTGATCAAAGCATCTCCCACTTAAGAGACAGGCAGAAGCTGTTTGGAGGCATCAGTTAAGAGGAGAACGTTTAATAACGCAGAAGATAAACATTAAGTGAATAGTGTCTGCCCTGAGAACCACTGCAATCAATCAAATCTCTTGAACCTTCGTTTTGGAGGACAGACATGCTCTGATTCCTTGTATAACATTTAAGTATTGAGTTGAATAATAAGAGTTGATGTTGAAGGAATGGTTAGAAAGAGAAAAAAGAAAACAAAAAAAAAAGTTGAGGTAAATTCTAAATATATATGTACTGGATGCTTATGGTAATAAGCAGGAACATCTAAGGAATAAACACACTAACTCCTTTTGGGTTGCCTGGCAACAAGGTAGCAGGCATTGAGTTGGGGAGGCTCCCTAGGAAAAGGACTGTGCCTAACAACTTATGGGACGAAAGAGAAGGTCTCCAAGTGTTGACAGCAGGTATTTCCCAGAATTCTCCTAAACAACTGGCACCTAAGCGTAGAGTACTTGCCCCCAAACCAAAACATTTATTTAGGTGTTCCAGCAGCTTCTGCCCCTCTCTATCATCAGCACCACCTCTAGCTGGCAGAGTTCCACCCAAAGAAGGAGGGTAAGTAAGGAGGTCTCTATACCATGGCTAGTACAAAGCTGACTGCCCAAAATCAGCCAGTGGTAAAGCATCCAGGAAGCAACTGGCTATAAAAGCCGCTCGTAAGCATGTGCCCTCTACTGCAGTGGTGAAGAAACCTCATCGTTACAGGCCTGGTACTGTGGCACTCGGTGAAATCAGACGTTATCAGAAGTCCACTAAGCTGATTCACACACCTCCCTTCCAGCATCTGGTGCAACAAATTGCTCAGGACTTAAAAACAGATTGGCACTTCTAGAGTGCAGCTATTGGTGCTTTGCAAAAGGTAAGTGAGGCCTATCTCGTTGGCCTCTTTGAAGACACCAACCTGTGCACTAACCATGCCAAATTAGTAACAATTACACCAACAGACATCAAGCTAGCATACTACATATGCAGAGAAGGTGCTTAAGAACCCACTATGTCGGGAACCATTTCATTCTCAAAAACAAAAATATTCTTTTCTTCTTGTTATTGGTAGTTCTCAACGTTAGATTTTTTTTTTCCCATGGAGTCAAAAGGCATCTAAGTATATGATTGCAAGTGGAAAAATAGGGGACAGAAATCAAGTATTGGTAGTTTTTCCATTTTCATTTGTGTGTGAATTTGTACTATAATGGCAGGGATATAAAGAAGCCTGTTAGGCTGGGTGCAGTGGCTCACACCTGTAATCCCAGCACTTTGGGAAGCTGAGGCAGGCGGATCACCTGAGGTCAGGAGTTCAAGACCAGCCTGGCTAACATGGAGAAATCCTGTTTCTACTAAAAATACAAAAAAAATTAGCCAGGCGTAGTAGTGCATGCCTGTAATCCCAGCTACTCGGGAGGCTGAGGCAGGAGAATCGCTTGAACCCGGGAGATGGAGGTTGCAGTGAACTGAGATCACGCCATTGCACTCCACCTTGGGCAACAAGAGCAAAACTCCATTTCAAATTAAAAAAAAAAAAAAAAAAAAAGCCTGTTAAATTTTTCTGGCAATGCCAGCATTTAGATTTTTACAAAACAATTAAATTTCTTATTGATGGCAAAAAAAATTATTTATATATATCATGTAAAGAAGCTCTCATGCTTGTCCCCTTTTTAAAAACAAAAGAGAGGTGGGGGAGAAGGAGAACAATGGATGCGGATCTCTCTGCTAGAACTCAGACCCACAGTGCAGCCAGATGCAGCCTGGTCGTGGCACGTCTCTAAAGAATGCCGAATGCTTAGAGAACCAGGACCCGTACACCTGTAGATCTTTCTCCCTGTTGGTTCCACTCACACTAATATTCACCTGTCTTTTGCTCAAAAGCACTAATACTCATTAGAATAAACAATAACAAACTATAACACCTCCTTTAGTTGTGCAGTAACCTAGTGACAGAAAAAGAATTCTCTATGTTGGCTCAATGAAGTGAAGAAAACCACCATAAAGGTATTTAATACATTTTGAATGTGATTATCCTTTTTCCAGGAAAGGAAGACACTAATTTTATTAGAACTCCTGAAGTTAACACCCACTAGAATGATGTTATCCCTTTTAATGACCCCACCTCTCTCTCCCACAGATCCCTTAACCACCTCAATAAATATTTGGACAGCACATAAAATTGTAAGCCACTCTCTGCTCTGGCTATGTAGCTGCTAAGAATGCCCAAGCTCTTTTCCTTTGCAGTGAGTCACTAGGCATTTCTCTACACAGGTTCTTCTCCCTTGACTGGGCTTCTTTTTGTGCTTGCAAGGCTGCCCCATCCATGAAATCAAGACAGACCACATAATAAACTATGAATGTTCAAAGATCTAAATGTTCTATGTTACCTGCTTCTCCTGCCAAGTCAGGGTAGTCTCTTGAATTCTCAGCTCCAGGCCTCACGAACTAGAGATACAGAAAGAGATAATAAATACAAACAAGTATAGTTACTTTTTTTTTTTTTTTTTTTTTTTTTTTGAGATGGAGTCTTGCTCTGTCACCCAGGCTGGAATGCAGTGGCATGATCTCGGCTCACTACAACCTCCGCCTCCTGGGTTCAAGCCATTTTCCTGGTTCAGCTGCCCCAGTAGCTGGGATTACAGGTGCACACCACCATGCCCAGCTAATTTTTGTATTTTTAGTAGAGACAGGGTTTCACCATGTTGGCCAGGGTGGTCTCAAACTCCTGACCTTGTGATTTGCCCACCTCAGCCTCCCAAAGTGCTGGGATTCCAGGCGTGAGTCACTGCGCCCAGCCAAGTATAGTTATATTTTCTACACAATGAAAATCTATTCATTCACTACTCAAACAAAAAACACATTGAGCACTTCTTGTGTTCTTGGACTCTAATAATAAATAATACAAAATCCTTGCCCTCAGAGTGCTTCCTGTCTAACCTAAGACAGACAGTTACACTACAGTGTCAGAAGTACAGAATGTCTTGACAGAGACATCTACCCAGACTTGGAGGGAGGACAAGAAAGGCTTCCCAGAGAAACTGCCATTTAAATTAAGTCCTTATGGATGAGTAGCAGTTAGCACAGTGAAAGAGAAGGAAATTTTGGAGTAAAGGTCTAGAAGTGAGAGAATACAGCAGTTTTTTTCTCTGTGGAAGAACTGTACATAATTTGGTATGACATAGGTTAAAGCACAAAGTAGAAAGTGTTAAGGATGGCTGGGTGTGGTCGTTCACGCCTGTAATCCCAGCACTTTGGGAGGCCGAAGCGGGCAGATCACTTGAAGTCAGGAGTTCAAGACCAGCCTGGCCAACATCATGAAACCCCATCTCTATTAAAAATACAAAAATTAGACAGGCATGGCGGTACACACCTGTGATCCCAGCTCCTCGGGAGGGGAGGCTGAGGCAGTAGAATCACTTGAAACAGGAGACAGAGTTGCAGTGAGCCAAGAGAGCACCACTGCACTCCAGCCTGGATGACAGAACAAGACTCTGTCTCCAAAAAAAAAAAAGTAATATGAACATAAAAGTAACTTAGGTCTAAACAATGATAACAACTAATATTTATTGGGCACTTACTGTGGTATACATTGTGTTAAGCATTTCACATGTATTTACTCATTTAATCCTCACAATAATCCTAAAAGGTAGGTTTCATGCATTACAGATAAGAAAACTAGGACACAGAGAGATAAACAACTAACCCAGGGGCATAGAGCTAATAAGTAATAGAGTTGAAAGTTTAGTCTAGTTCTGGAACCAACTCACAAGGGACCCTTTATGCCCCGCAATGCCAGTCTGGGCTTTATCCTGAAGACAGTGTTTTTGTTTGTTTGTTTTTTGAGACAAGGTCTTGCTCTGTCACCCAGGCTGGAGTGCAGTGGTACGATCACAACTTACTGCAGCCTCAACCACCCTGACTCAAGCAATCTTCCCACCTTAGCTCCCCTTGCACCCACAGTAGCTGGGACTACAGGTACGCACCACCATGCTAAGTTAATTTTTGTATTTTTTGTACAGATGGGGTTTGCCATGTTGCCCAGGCTGGTCTCAAACTCCTGGGCTCAAGTGATGCTCCTGCCTCAGCTTCCAAAGTGCTGCAATTACAGGTGTGAGCCACCATGCCCAGACAACAATGTTTTTTAAATGAGACTGGAATAAAACAACAATTAGATACCACTGTTTATTAAAATGGCAAAAATCCAAAACACTGACATCAAATGCTGACAAGGATGTGGAGCATTAGGAAGTCTGGCAATTTCTTACAAAACTAAACGTGTACAGGCCGGGCATGGTGGCACACATCTGTAATCTCAGCACTTTGGGAAGCCGAGGTGGATGGATCATTTGAGGTCAGGTATTCGAGACCAGCCTGGTCAACATGGTGAAACCCTGTCTCTACTAAAAATACAAAAATTAGCTGGTCATGGTGGCCAGCACCTGTAATCTCAGCTATTCAGGAGGCTGAGGCAGGAAAACCCAGGAGGCAGAGGTTGCAGTGAGCCAAGATTGTGCCACTGCACTACAGCCTGGGCAACAGAGCAAGACTCAGTTTCAATAAATAAATAAATGAAGCAACAATAAAGTACACACAACACACGTACGAATTAGCAATAGCACTCCTTGGCATTTACCCAAAGGAGCTGAAAAATTACGTCCATATAAAAACCTACAAATGGATGTTTTTTGTTGTTGTTTTGTTTTGTTGAGATGGAGTCTCACTCTGTTGCCCAGGCTGGAGTGCAGTGGTGTGATCATAGCTCACTGCAGCTTCAACTTCCTGGGCTCAAGCAATCCTCCCACCTCAGCCTCCTAAGTAGCTGACATCACAGGTGCTCATAAGCATGCCTGGCTAATTTTTACGTTTTTTTAATAGAGACGGATCTCACTATGTTGCCCAGGCTGATCTCGAACTCCTGGGCTCAAGCAATCCTCCTGCCTTGGCCTCTCAAAGTGCTGGGATTACAGGCATGAGCCATTATGATAGAACCACACAGATGTTTATATTAGCTTTATTCATAACTGTCAAAACTTGGAAGCAATCAAGATGTTCTTCAGGAGGTAAATGGATAAAAACCATGGCACATCCAAACAATGGAATATTATTCAGTGCTAAACAAATGAGCTATCAAGCTATGAGAAAACATGGAGGAACCTTAAATAGATATCATATTAAGTGAAAGAAGCCAATCTTAAAAGACTACAAACTATGATTCCAAGTAAATGACACTCTGTAAAGGTAAAATTTATAGAGACAGTAAAAAGATCAGTGGTTGCCAGGAGCTGGTGGGAGAGAAGGATGAATATGTGTAACACAGAGGATTTTTAGGGCAGTGAAACTATTCCGTATGATCCTATAATACTGGATACATGTCATTACACATTTATCAAAATCCATAGATGCAAAATACCAAGAGTGAACCCTAAAGTTAATTATGGTCTCTGGGTGATAATGATGTGTTAATGTATGTTCATTGATCATAACAAAGGTATCACTCTGGATATACCCTTGCTGATAGTGGGAGAGGCTATATATGGAGGGATGGGGGAAACACATGGGAAATCTCTGTACCTTGTACTCAATTTTGCTGTAAACCTAAAATTTCTCTTTTAAAATAGTCTAGTTTTAAAGAGAAAGAGACTGGGAATGATGAGACTTGCATTTTAGATCATCCTAGACACAATGTGGAGAAATGATGAAAGGAGTATGGCAGGAGGCAGTGAGACCAACTAGCATGATTCTGAAACAGGCCAAGTGAGGGCTAAGACAGAAGCAAAAGAGATAGAAAGAGACAGACCTAAGAAATACAAGGGAAGAAAAATCTACTGAACTTGATGACTGATTAGGTAAGATGTAGTGCTTTGCTGCTGAGTGGTCATGCTAAAGCGAAACGACTTTGACTATTGTTTTGACTGCAAACCACAATAAAATACATTTTACAACCCAGTACACACATATATACATACCTAAGTGAAGCAAGACTTTCATGAAACAACGAGTGAGAGAGGCACAAGTCTCTCGTATTGACCCAAATTTACCTTTACAATTTTTAGTTTTTCCTTCCATCCACTCTTCTACGAGACTTATAGTACAAAATGATTCTCTAGTTGAATGGGTATTTCTTCCTAATTCAGCCTCTAAAACCCTTTCAATATATTTTGGTCAAATAGCCACTTTGATTGGGTTAGGACGTCAACGTATCACTAAAAAGAAGAAAATGACCATGCTAACTCCTTTACAACAGACAATCCAGTCAGCCACCCTGAACAACTTGTCTCCAGCGATCCAGGTCCGGCTCAACCTCTGCCTCCTCCTGATACTGATCCTTCTACCCTCTGTCACCCCACAGACTGTTAAAAACTATAAATATTGGGCCTATATTCCTTTTCCTCCTCTTATTCGAGCCATGACATGGATGGATGCCCCTATCGAGGTCTATGTTAGTGATAGTATTTGGATGCCTGGCTCTGTTGATGATCGTTGTCCCGCCCAACCTTCAGAAGAAGGAACCCCTTTCAATATCACTTTAGGTTTTAGGTATCCACCTTTGTGCCTGGGACCCACTAATGGATGTCTCTCGTTAGATATTCAAACTTGGGCAGTCACACTACCATCTGGTCACTCTGTCCCTCCCTTAGGACACTTGGTATCAGGGCTCTCATTAAAACCTCTAAGGCAGATCAAAACAAGAATCACTGATTATATTCACATATCGCAATATAAGCCTTTAGGACCTGCGTGTCCTCTCAACTTGTCTTCACATGCTGACAAATTAATATGGAAGGATTGTATTAGTTCAGAAGGAATGGTGTTATTTAATTCTTCTCACTATGCCACTGTTGATTGGGCTCCTAAAGGTCATATTACTAATGATTGCTCTCAGGGTCACAGAGATTGTCAACATTTTCTCTATGATATTACTTATCAAAAAAGTAGTGACAGCCCTCCCCTATTATATTGTAGATTAAACTCCTTTTTTCCTTTTAAGTGGAAAGGGGCAGGGGTTGCCCCTCCAAAGCCAAGGCTCATTGTTCCCCACTTAGGAACTGAACATTCAGAATTATGGAGATTAACCATAGCTATGACTGGTATGAGAGTTTGGGCTGGAGAAAGTGTTATAAGTAAACCCACCTTGTCACCTCGAAAACTAAGACAACAGATTGATTTACACTACTATTTCCACACAGCCAAAAATATCACTATGGCAATCATCAAAAGGTCAATTCAAAGATGGGACAGTAAAGATTATGAGGACTTATACCCCCCCATTGCTAATGTTCCCCCACCACCTCTCGTACAACCTATTCCCCCCACTCCACATTCACAAAAAACAGTACCATCCCAAAACATATATACTATCTATATGGAGTCCAACAAAACTATACCACTTAAAAGCTGTGTTAAACCACTATATATGTTATTAGTAGAAAAGATGCATATTAGTT